AACACACACACAATATTTATTTATTCTTTTTCCTGATTCTATCTTTTCTTTCAATGTGTATTGTATCTATTGGTATTGGTATGTCAGTTTCCTTTGCTGGTCAGCTCTCTAGCAACATTAAGAATTCCTACTATGTTTGCATGCCATCTGCTGTACCTAGATTGCTTTTGAGGGAAATTAGAGTATTCCAAAACTTTATGATACTCTATCCAACCTATAAGAATGAACTTATATCCTCTGGTTTACATGATGTGGTTAATGTTACAAACTTTTTCCAAGACAAATTAGAGAGAATGGAAAAGTATAAGGGACTTTTGGATGAGTTAAAATTGGCTGAGGCCTCTGGTACAATGTCTTCTGAATCCATAGCAGACTATACCAATCCTATATATACTCTTGTTACACCAGTTCTCTATTACAGTAATGATTCAACAATTCCTTCTGATTACATTCAATCCAAAAATGCTTCCATTTCAGAAATTACTGATAGTTTAATCAAATATGCCAAGACTTATTTGAAGAAGGAAGCAAATGGCTTTAATACTACAATAACATCTGGTGATTTCATGTTTTTATGGACAAATAGAAATGGAGGTAGCTCAGCTTTTGATGCTTATTGTGATTTATTTTTGCGTAGAAATTCTGAATCTGTTCAAAATATGAACATTCAATTTATTGCCTTCTACGTAGCTGCAGTTGTTGTATATGGTGTTTGTGCAGCAATTGTGGTTATGATATTGTTAGTACATTTGAGGTCATTGAGATCATCTATTAAGTTTATTGCCACAACCTTACCCAAGGATCAAGTTGGTAAAATATTTCAAGGTCTCGACAAGAAGTCTGATGAAGAAATGGATATCAAAGAGAATGGAATTATTTCAAAACCTCAGACAACTATTTCACTCGTTGTTGTGTCAAGTATCATTGTAACTGTTCTTTGCATTACAATGCTTTTCGTTGATATGCAAATTATTTCTAATACTGAAAGTTTAGCGATTAAATACGTTACTTCTGGAGTTGAAATTTTCAGAAATACAAACAGAGCAGCCTACCGTATGACAGAATTATTTAGTTTTATGAGATATACTTCCAAGAGTAGTTTGAATGATGATCGTTTGCTCTCACAATCAGACCTTAGCACTTACCACGTTCAAATGAAATCACTATTTGGAACTATTGCTTCTTCATGGGAAGTATTAAGATATGGTGGTAGATTTATGAATACTTATGAGGATATTGATATTCTTATTTCTCCAATTACAAATTGTACCAACGTTTCCACATTTTATTGCACCAATTTGGATGAGCTCGTTACAGAAATTAGTACTGTGTCATTAAGATTGAACGAAGATGTATATTACAGTAATTACGCTATAGACAATTTATTCTTGACCTTGCTTAAGGGAAGTGAAATGTCAAATGCCCTTATGGATAGAATAATAGACATTTTTGATTTATATTCTACATATGCATCGACTCCAAGTTTTACATTATCCATAATTGCAGTTGTTATAGGATACATTGCATTAATATCACTATCATATTTTGCATATGTGTTAATAAGAGATTTTTGGGATCAGATTCAACAATTAAGAAGTTTACTCAATTACTTACCTGTGGAGTATATTGATTCCAATGATGCTCTTAAACAATTTGTACTTTTCAATGATCTCTCGTCTAAATCTAGGGCCTCTTCATCAGAAAAAAGCAAGGAAAAAGATGGTGGTGGAGATGGTAAGGTGAGGGCAATTTTGAATTCTGCAGTTGATGGAGCCATTTTAT